GGAGAGTAGACCGCTACGCGTACGGCAGGCACACACCAACCCCGACCGGACCCGGCACGTGCACCACGAAATCCCCGAAACGCCCCTTGTCAGACGAGCCAGGCGTGGGGGCAGGACGGTAACTTCGCGTGCCTGCCACTAGATGAGATGAGATTCCCTTCTTCCTCCCCACAAATCCAGACCAGACCAGGCCAGAGGACCAAACCCTAGCTAGCTCGCCGCGCGCAACCCTCCCGCCAGATCTCGCCGTCGATCCCCGACCTCCCATGGCCGCTCGCGCCCCCCGCCTCGCCGGCTTCTAGTTCGCGAGCTAGCCGCGCGCGGATCGGGGTAACAAAGCATGGAGGAGGACGCGGCCGCGGCGCCCGACTCGTGGGAGACGGCCGACCTCGACGGGGCCATGAGCCGCCTGCTCCTCTCCTCCTCCTCCCCCGGTGGCGCCGCGCGAAGGGTCTCCTCCTCCCCCGGTGGCGCCGCGCGAAGGGTCTCCTCCTCGCCCGACCTCGCCGACGACAACCAGGAGCAACCGCAGCAGCAGGCCGACGATCCGGTCGCGCAGGTCGACCAGTTCCTCCGCGAGGCCCTCGAGAAGCCCCGCGAGCGCCTCCAAGGTACGGCCCCGCCCCGCCCGACCTCGTTTCCGCGGCTACTCTTCTTACTAGATACACGGCGTCTCTTCCCTAGTTTTGGTTGCCGCGAGTCGCGCTAGCTAGCTAGCTGGCTAGCTTCCAGGTAGAATTCCAGGTGCGCGGTGAGGAATTTGGGAAGCGTGCAAAGTTCTCGCGTCCTTGTTTTAGGCACTGCGCGGTAGGTAAAAGGTCAGGTGCATCCATAGCCAGTGCTAGCTCTGTGGTTTGTCGTTCCAGGTAATAGGTTTGTATGTAAGTACTTGTGCAGGACAAGGAGTTCGTGTACGCCTAGTTGATTTGAGCCGCGCGTTCGGTCATGTGCATCCACAGGTGGTGTTAGCTTGTATTCTGGTGTGCCGAGGCACGCCATGTGTTCCTGCTGGAAGCCTGGGAACATGCTGCAGAGCATCACAATGCAACATAGCTCCGAAGCCTGTCCCTTCCTGTTTGGGATTACTTGGCCATATTAGTCGAACTGCGTATTGACAAATTGTTTGGCGATTTTGTACTAACTTTTGGACAAGAAAATGCCGTAAGACGTGTGCTAAGCTAGCAGCTAGCTTGTGTGTTCGTCTGGGTTGCTCAAGTATCATCATGTCAGTTATTTAAAACATTTGTACACTCTTGAATTGTTCCATAGGCAGTTGCTTTACGTTGATCGGATTCCCCCCTTTAACCTGCTATGTTGCATCATGTTTCTGCATCTTGTCTTACTATGTGACTAGATTCCTACATATAAATATGAAAAGTTGAACATTGCTCGAATAGTTTTATCTCATTGCAATCTCATCTCTCATTGCAGTGCTACGGATGGAGCAAGACATTCTGAAGTTCCTTCGTGACCCTGGGCAGACGCAGTTTGAGTTCCAGGGTCTTCCGACTTCGTACCTGCGCCTCGCTGCGCACCGTCTGGCACAGCATTATTTCCTGATATCGATCGCCCTGCCGGATAACAGCCTGCCTGATGGAACCAGTTCGCGGATCATCCTTCGCAAAACGTCGGCTGAGTGCCGATTGCCTGCTGTCCGCCTAGCTGATATTCCAGTTAATCTCCCTCAAGAAGAGAGCAGCGCTGTGGCCACCAAAGTAGCTATTAAGCAAAGGCCTCAGAAGAATCAGCATGGCGGCGCAGGCGCAGGTGCCAACTCTAACAGAGGCAACCTTCAGAAAAGCGTCGAGGAGAGGAAAGAGGAATACAACAGGGCACGTGCTCGCATATTTAACAGCAGTAGTGGTAGCACTAGTCCGGTTGATGGAAGACCAGCTGATGAAGTGGTTTTGCCCAACACCCTACATAGGTCCACTTCCTTGGAGTTGAACTCAAACACCAGGTTCTGTGAATTGACTGAAGCTACCCTTGAAAGGAGTTTGACTAGCACCGCATCTAGCAGCAGATCAAATAATAGAAGCAGGATTGATAAGGAGCCTCCAGTCAATAGGGGCAGGCAAGGCAATAGGGTGGCGATATTTCGAGACCGTGACTCTGATCGCAAGGATCCTGATTATGACAGAAGCTATGACAGGTTTGTTCACATAACACAGTTTTTATTGTTGCTATCTGAGCTGGAGTTTCCTGTGTCATAATCAGTAGGACCTGGTTTTTATGTTGCCTCAGTGTAGTTCCATGTTTTATGGTCTGGCTGTGCTCTTTAATTATTCCTAATGCACTTTTTCTCCTTAAACCACCAAAGTATGTGGTTAAGTCTGTGATCTGTCATATTTCTTAGGACTATTGATAGGATCTGTGAAATTAGATTTGTACATATTAACTTCGCATTGATTGCCGATGATTGGAGGGAATTCGTGTGAAACATGTAAACAATATATTTAAAGTGGGTTCAGTGGTGAAAAATCATATCAAAATATTTCACTTGTTCTGATGAAGATGATTAAGCTATAATCTTACTATTTCAGATACTTGTCAATCTTATTCTAAAGAAGTATATATACGTGCCAAGGTTTTAAGCTTATTATTATGTTCTTATAAACCCTTTTGGATATGGACTTTATGACAAGTTCACTCACCGCTAAATGGGCATTGCAGGTATATGCAAAGATTTGATCCTGGATTTGGATTTAATGGCGGCGCGTACACCATTCAACCTGTGTATGCTCCTGCTGTTACCTACAACACTGAGTTCCCCCAGCTTGGGTCACCACAAATGTCTCCTGTTCCTGTTGAACAGCAGCAGCCCCATCCAATGGCTCAGCACATGCCTGGGCCCTGGTCGCCGGCTCAATCACCTAATGCAGTTGGCTACAGGCCTCCAGATGGTGTTATGCCACCCTACAGTCCTGGTCAAGCTGGTGCTCCTGTCAGATCTTCTGTTTTCATGCATGCTTCCCAGCAATATGCCATGCCTTCACGCCCAGGGGTCACATTTGTACATCCACAGGATTCCATGCGACCATTTGCACAGGTCTGTGTTTTTTCCTATCATTCGTACTGAGCTGATTTCCTAGAGTAATCTTTTGATAGCCATGACTGCCTATGACTGTCTTACTTCCTTTTTATGTTTTTGGCATTTGGCATACAATCTTCTCTTTAAGCAAGCCAACTTTTGTTTTTTTGTACCTCCAGTGTTCAGTGATAGATATTTTTCTAATGATTTTAGTTTCTATATTTGGAGATGTAAAATGTTACCTAGGCAGTATACACTATAAATTGAATCCTAAACTATGTACTTGCAGAGTTTCCTTCTGTCTTGACTCACCCCATGTTTTTGCAGACTCACCACCAACAACAATCTGAAGCTAGTCTACGCTTAGCCCGGCCCCGGTGAGGGGCCTGGGCGTGCCTGCTCCTGCCAGCATGGGCCGAACTTCCAACTCAAATCGGATGAGATATCCTTCTCATTTCTGGCTGGCAGGAGCAGGCATGAAAGAACCGAGAAGCGCCGGGCCGAGCTAGTCATTTGCCTGATCCCGTCATGCCCGTGCGCTTCTCGGTGTTGTTCCTCCCTGCACATTGAGATGCAGGCGGGGCACCGTACTCCTTCATCGGTGGATTAAACTGCAGACAGTTGCGTGGGCCTCAGAAGTCCATGACACATGGAAAGAAGCTGAGAAGTCTAGGGCAGAGCCGGTCGCCGTCTCGCCCTTGCTCGGGTTCTTTGTTCTTGGCGTTGCTGCTTCCCCTTGCATACTTGAGATGCAGGAGGGGCACATGTTGCCGCCACTGGCTCCTCGGAACACGAGTGGCGCCACGTGAGCTGCAATAGAAGAGAAGAGAAGAGAATGGCGTGGGGACATCCAGCATGTGGATCGACAGCCGGGACCTGGGTTAGTCCAGTGATCTTTGTGTTCTGCTTCTTACACTTCATCCTTTTGATGATGGGACTAACGATGACAAACTGCCATGTCTGGAGCACCAGGCCTGGCGCTCCTCTTGCTTCCAGCCGAAGCCGCAGCATGGTGGCTTGGAGATGCGCGGCGTGATATGGAGTGGAGGCAAGCTGCATCGACTGCCACCCTTGCTCCCAGTGTCTGCAGGGAACTGCCGCTGATGATGATGGCGATGACGATGACGACGAAGAGTTTCCAGTCCTGGCTTTGTGTTGTCTTAAGATTCTTGTTCATTCAAACTCGGTAGTAGTAGTAGTAGTAGAGTACCAGTATCTGTGTCTGTACATGGTAGCAGGTGGGGGTCAGTCACCATCGACTTGTTTATTAATTAACTTGAGTTGCAGCTGTTGTTAAGCTCCATTAGTGCTTTGAACTGAATTCGGTTGCACGTATGTACGTATGTATGCATGTGTGGTTTGGAGTCGACGTGGTTCTTACATAAGCAGGCCATCGTTGGTCCTGGCTACTTCCTCTGTTTTAAAATATAAAATAGATGATCCAAGTTTGTATAAATTTTAGTAGTAGGCCATCGGGTAAGTTGCCTGCTATGATTCGACTTTGAAGACTCAACACGAACAGCAACTCTGCTAGGCCATCGGGTAAGTTACCCTTGATTGAGTAATACTCCGTACAAGAATTATTTCCATAAAAAAAATCATCAGTATTACTAGTACTTTTTGAGGGGAGGATAAGGATTTGGAGAAACCATCAGCGGCACTCCTCTTGGGCTGGCATGGCAAGCACATTCCCACGGCCCATCGCCTCGTGGCATCGCTATCTGACGGCCGCCTCTCCCTCCAGGCACCGAATCCAACGGCTGGCAGCACCCGCCGCCCGACCCTCCCATCCCCAAAGCCTTGGGCAGCTGCCCGAGGCCACGAGCGCCACAGCCACTCCCCCCTCGCGCCGCACCCTCCCCAAACCCTAACCAACACCAGGTAAGGCCCCCGCCGTCGATCTCTCTCCCCGCCGCCGCTCATCTCATTCTCACCGCGTTCTCCCTCTGCCCGCCGACCGGCGACAGCCATGAGGTAACGCCCGCCTTTACCGACCCCCCGGTTCCCGTGCCCGTTGGTTTCCTCGCCTGCGCTCGCTGGATGGACGGATTACCCCGCCGAAATCCTAGTCGTGCCTAGAGATCCGCCCGGGCGGAGAGGGGCCGAGATGGATACATCGCATCGCGCGCCTTTTGGCCTGGATGAATCCTGATGAATATAGACGGCGTTTTGTGGTTGGTTCTGAGTGCCGGGAGTTCACATCACATGCTGGGAGGTTGGGTTCGTGGCAGCTGCATCGTCTAATTTACCTGGGATTTACGTACATGATTTTGTGGTACGATCTCTGCCTGCCTACTGTGTGGGCTGTGGCTGCGTCAGACACTGGTCCCGTGCTGTCTATTACTTTGAAACGTTACCGAATTCGTGGCTTGCATCTGTCAAGTGTTGTAGGGTCAGGAGCTCTTCTGGTGAATAGATGGTGTTTATACCCCTTTGTGGCGGCAATTAACATGAGGAGATTGGGGTTTTTTGTAGCAGTCCTTCGCCTGGTTATCCTGGAATTCACCAGATTTTTAGTTACTGTGTGATTCATTAGTGACTAGACTATTCATGTGCTACCTGTTACCTGTTGGTTGATAGCTAAAGTATATTCATTCAAGCTCGTTTTGCCGAGGTAGTATGCCATCAGTTGGTCGCAAGTGTAGGAAGTAGTTGTAACTTGTAAGAGCTGTTCAGATTTGGGATGGATGTTTTGCGCTTCAAATGCCATCCTTTTTTATGACGTATGCTCTGCTTTTGCAGTAAGCTGCAGACCGACGCCCTCAAGGAGGCCATCACCCAGGTGGTGGCGGACGCCAAGGAGAAGAACAGGAAGTTCACCGAGACCGTTGAGCTCCAGATCGGCCTCAAGAACTATGATCCGCAAAAGGACAAGCGTTTCAGCGGCTCTGTCAAGCTGCCCCATGTCCCTCGCCCCAAGATGAGGGTCTGCATGCTCGGTGACGCCCAGCATGTGGGAGAGGTATGGCCCGCCGGCTGCTACTATTAGTCAGTTCTTCTTTTCGTCTGTAACATTTACTGGCTGTGAGGATTTTGGCTGTGCTGTGAGCAATCACTGGTCGTGGGAATTTTGAGCTGTGCTGATATCTTTGTTACATCTAATGAATGTTACTTGCACGCTAGTATTGTGGGCTCTTTAAGATGATAGTAGTGTGATACTGCGATTACACTTTACTCTTTACATGAGTTATTATTTGCATCATGCTGTCAGAATGTGACCGGTGCTAGAACCTTCTTTTGTTATTGTATAGGTGTCTAGCTACAGGGGCATAGCTAGGATTATTATTCATCGGGTCCAGCTCTGCTAAACAGTGGGATTAGTTCTTTGCTTAGTCTTAAGCTAGCTTATTCTATAAGTAATAAGCAAAATTTATTCGGTTCACTTGAACCCAACACCAATGAGTGGCTCCGCCCATGCCTTGCTAATATGACAACTAACTTTGTTACATCTTCATGAATGCTATCTATATGTAAGAACTGTATTCTTTGAAGTGATAGATGGATCAATGTTCTTTTAACCTTCCTCATAGCTTATTCTCCTGATTGCAGGCTGAAAAGATTGGTCTTGATTCCATGGATGTTGAAGCTCTTAAGAAGATGAACAAGAACAAGAAGCTTGTCAAGAGGCTTGCCAAGAAGTACCATGCTTTCTTGGCCTCAGAGGCTATCATCAAGCAGATTCCACGTCTCCTTGGTCCTGGTCTCAACAAGGCAGGCAAGTAATCTGATCTGTCTCTGTTAGTTTACTTGTCTCTCAGCTGGTTGGTTTACTTCTCATGGTTAGAAGTTAGAATACCATTTCTTTGGTTGTCTTCATGTGGATGTGTGCGTTACATCTTTTCTACCATTGATCTATTATTAGTTTTTGTGATGGTTTTATTTTTAGTGTGAACCTAGCTGAACCTTGTAATTTACTTGCATTTTGTCCTTGTATGGATTAAATGTATGCCATATGGTCTTGTACAGTTGCAGACAACCCATTTGATTCTCATCTGCATCCATGCTTTCGCAGAACAGTCTATTGTCAATTTTGACATTTGTAGAGCTTACTGCATTATATGGTGTTCTAATATTCTATGCCCCCATCTGTTTGAGAGTTCATAGTTCATACTTGTGTGCATAACATAGACAGCTTCACCATCCCTGTTCTGATCCTGCATACTGAGTGTTGTCTGCTGGTGGCATTGTAGGCAAGTTCCCGACTCTGGTTTCTCACCAGGAGTCTCTGGAAGCCAAGGTGAACGAGACGAAAGCCACAATCAAGTTCCAGCTCAAGAAGGTGCTGTGCATGGGCGTCGCGGTGGGCAACCTGTCGATGGAGGAGAAGCAGATCCAGCAGAACATCCAGATGAGCGTCAACTTCCTGGTTTCCCTGCTCAAGAAGAACTGGCAGAACGTGAGTCCCATTCAGATCTCACTCCCTCCGAGTTTCTGTTTCACTTCCTCTCGTGTCTAGTGCAAGTGATTAGGCCCAAAAGACTAAATTAGACATGGCATGACGTTGGTCATTGCATTTGTTTTTGCAGGTGAGGTGCCTGTACATCAAGAGCACCATGGGGAAGCCGGTCCGTGTGTTCTAAAGCCTGTACCCCTACCGCCCATCTATATCAATGCTACCTAGAATACTGGACTTCCTTACTATGTTTACGCATAAATATGTCGGTGTCGTGTCGTAGTTTTTATCGAATTTTGCGCGTGCCTGGTGAAGATGACAGAACGACCACTACTGTTTCTCTTGAGTTGTGATTCTGCTGGAGTGATGTGCTCATCGAAATCATG